TATGAATACCGCACCGCGACTTGGGTGGTCCGAAAGTATCCCGTTGCTCCGTCCCTTTCGCACTCGGGACTTTCAACGATTAGCCGTCCACGCCATCAATTCGGTTTGGCGGGCAAAGTCTATAAAAATGCAGACAGATCGCGCACTATACTAATGATTAACAGAACAGTTGAATTGTTTTTTTCATGCTTAGGTTTATTATTATTTTATTAAAGTTGATCTCACCAGAATTATTACTGGGCGAATTATATCTTGTAATTATTTCAAGTCTTTATGTTAATACTTTAAATTATTTTAATTAAATATTCAGACTGAAGAAATATGCGGTACCTATTGTATGCTTTATGTCATCTCTGCGCCAAGTGGTCTATCCATTTCACCTTTCAATAAGCCCTTTTCGCAACGCCTTTCTCTTTCCAGCACCACTGACTTATATTAAGCCTACTCACTCACACACTAGCACTTATGACCTTAGTTGCTTGTTCACTAATCGGAAAGAAAGCTGCGGCCGTCTCATTCTCGCATTGTTTTCGGATCAAAATGTCGAGATTGAATTAATCCGTGCGATGAATCGCGAAGACGTTTCAAAAATGTATAAATGGTAAAATTTCGTAAAGAAACGGCCAGCCATAAAGAAGAGTGTATGTATATGGTCAAACAATAATCAAGGCGAAACCTTTGTAAGCGTCAATGTGTGATGTCTTTCCACATTTGTACATTTCATTTTAAAAAAGAAGTAAGACGCGAATGTATTGCCAATTACGCCATAAAATAGCGTCTTCATCGACGCCTCTTGTAAGCTGTCCTTAAGATTAAATTGTGGACGTTTTCATTGTCACTCCTTACCGGTTAAAACGGTAAATAATTTTGATTTTGTCGAATAAATGTGCAATTTTATTTCTTTAAGTTTTATTTAACTGAATATTTTATAACATGGGCGCTAGCTAATAATTTTAATCACACCTTATTTGTACATTTTAAACAATTGTCACATATTCATAAAATCGTTATTAATAAAACAGAAAATAAAAGTATCACAGGAGCGTGTTAAAAATTTGGTTTTCTTATATAGTACCTTAAGTAAACACTCAAGCCAAAATTAAGCCTGAATCCGTTAGATATTCGTAAAATTGTTGTTATGTTACCTTAGCAAGCCACATTATTAATAAGTGAAGTTAGACCCAAGCCGAAATTGAGCCTGAATCCGTCAAGTGGTTTTTCTTAAAATCCTATGTTCGCATTGTCAGGAAAATCTAGCAAGTAAACATTAAGGTCAACCACCGATTTCGATGATAGTCTGTGATCCGCGGCAACGTCGCACAATCAAGTGCACTCGACCACTCGTGATTCGTGGATCGGGCCGAGTTAAGATCAATTAGAGCGATAGAGCTCTGTTTTGACAGCTAACTCCGCCGCGACAGTTTGACAGGTGTCGTGACAGGCGCGCTCCGCTCCGACTGTGCGTGTGAGCGATTTGTGCACCGTGACCGATGTGTGGATCGATCTATCGGGGCTCCATGTGGGTGTGACTTTTGTTTGTCGTTGTTATTTTTTTCTTAAATCTTGTCTTTTCTTAATTTACGTTGTAAAACAACGAGTATGTTTTTTTCTGTTCTGTTTAATTAATGAGTCAATGGTTGCTTTAGGCATGGGATTGTTGACATTAAATTTAAGATTGTGGGTTCTAATAAATAAATAATGAATAGGTATGTTTATTAATGTACTTAGACTACCTTTCGACTTTGTCACATAATGCGCAAGCTTTAAGTTACTTACGTTATTGAAAGAGATAGCATTAACTAATGACCTCTCTATCTACATGGTAAGGTTAAAAGAAGTGAGAGCGTTGTAAATACTTCGTATTTTCTTTTTTATAACCAACGTCGTAATTCGACAAATGAGACCACCTTATAAAAACCTGACTTCAAATGGTTGATATTACAAACACAAAAACGTTGACACTTGTACTTTATAACTAATAGCCTCTATATCAAATTTCATGTCTTCGGCTTAAAAAAGAGAATCACAGGACAATCCATTCTCCCCGTTTGACCTCGTTTAGGGTTGATGTTCAACATTACATGTAATTAATACTCTCCTAGCTTTTAATGGATATCTCCGACGCGACACATCTGTAAGCCGATTGATTTAACTATAAATACAAACAGTCTTTACCGGTAAAAGATCGAGACGGTCCTATAAATAAGTATTTCGTAGGAAAAAAACATCGGAAATTTTTTAAATGTCTGCAATCGGACGATACCGATACTTGGGATTATAAACGGATCGTCACACGATCACATCATTTTATGCAGTAGGAAGATAAAAATAATGCAATACGTTCAAGTTCTCATGTTGACAGACCTGTCTGACATGGTTCTAGATTAATAGAAATGATCAAGTAAGTATAAAAATTACCCCTCAGAACGTGATGTCCTTACAAATAAACGAAGTGGATATTATATTTTTGTAGAACTATTCAAAACCGCAAAAGACCTTTGAGCCGAGCGATAATTAAACGAAAATTAATCAAAAGATGAATTCAAATTAGGGAAAGCGTAAATTGTGCATCTCTTTAAGAAAACATCGGAATAAAATATTTCTACGAGTTTCACAAACACTAAATCATTTACCTATTTAAGTCATATTAAAACATGCCGTGTCCATAATCGTAAATAAGTTGAGAAACAAACAACAATTACGTTCGCCCCGACTCCGAAGACAACAACCGAAAACCGCGTCTAAAGGATCGATCGAGTGGATAAATGAAGGCGTAGCGGTCCCGATGCCGGTGTTAGTAACTTACACATTATACTGATTAAAATCTAAATTGTAAATTGATATATTAAGCGGCGACCACCCATCTCGACGCGTTATTTATTTTCGTTTGTGCGCGGTGCACGCGGCCGTGATAGATAGGCGCGCCGCGATTGGCCGATCAGGGCTTCGGCGTGCCACAGATAAACAATTATTTTTTTAACCTGTGCAACTGACGATAAGTGATGCGCGGCATTCATGCGGACACGACAGGAATTCAGCTTTTAAACAATTGCTCCGACTGAGCTAAAATTTTCCACATTTACATTTCCATTCACACTGCGATATGCAGCTTCTGTTTTCCACCAATAAATAAAAAAAAGGATTTTTTCAATAATCATTTTAGAATTTTAAATAGAAAAGGTATGTATGGTTATTAAAGCTTAAATTTTCAATACTTTACATTGTTATTTTTAATATTTTGGAATAAAGGTAAGTCTGAGCATTGCCAGAGAAAACAAAACAACAAAGTTTTATCCAATTTTTTTTATTAATGTTAATGTTTTTGTTAATGTTTTAATACTAAACAAAATGTTGTCTATATATGACATTATTACAAAGGAGCCGTCGGTAGCCTTGGAGCACGTTGATTGGCCGGCGCCTCGCACATTCTATTTTCAAGATTCCTCCTTGTATTGATTCCGTTCGATCGCTTTTAACTAATTACAATAATATTGCTGCGCTTATAATGACATTGCTCATTCAAATTTTGTCTTTATTGTCATTGTAATAAAAGTTGATTTTATTTCGTTAGTCGCAACAGATGCTTGCCTAATTAGGTTCGGATTTCGAATGTTTATTATTATTATTGATAGGATAACGGACATGGCGCCACGGTCCGGTATTTAAATAATTATATAAATTCCGAACATTCTCAGAGCGGATGATGATGAATTTGTCCATCGTGCAGTTTAATTATACCCTACAATCGCTAATAAAGTAATTATGTACAAATTCATAATAATTATTTAAATTTGATCGCTTAAATTTGCATAAACTCGATACATAACAAGTTCTTAAATGTGATAAAGCATGGATTAAAGCTAAGTTTATTATTTACGAACGCCACGGTCCAATAGAATTTTTTTTATTTCGGAGCAGGAATTTGGTTAATTGCGTTCAAAACAACTTTATAATGTTAAGAATAAGGTAATCCGTGAATAAGTTAATATTAAAACTTATCAATAATAAGTGGAGATGAAAATGATTTATAGAATTAGCTTGAATATTATAACGGAATATCAATGACAGACATAACGCCGCCTTAAACATTTACATTTTTATTAACAAAAAACGAAACCGACTTACAACATCTCATTCACTATGCATTTTCTATATGATTTTGAAGATCTAAATGTTCTGTCTTCAACGCAACAGCTTCGGCTGTTACAGGAATGGACAGGTACGTCCGGGTAAGTATCACCACCTCACAAAAGAACGGCGTGAAATGGAAGTGTTGTACTTGCTTTTCGTCTGGTGAGTGAGGTAGCCGGGGCTCCCTTTATTCAAAGGCTCATTTTTTGAAGTCGCTTGAAAATCTAGTAAAACAAACGACGAGAGAAATATAAAACGAATGTTTTTTTTTAATTTCACAAAAGAATGACAGATGACTGTCAATCGGACAATACACTATTAGATAATGTTAGAGCAAGGTTATATGAAACAATTTTACGGTTTTTATCGCGTTTTAATTTGATTTTTAAATTCCCGACACTTCGAATCCTTTGCAGCGCTCATGGTCACGGGAAAGAATGAGTTGTTTCGTCTCTTAATAAGCTTAGGTATTACTTGAAAATCAAATTATTATTCTTCATATTCATTTGAGTTATTTAGCACATTATTATATTATCACAATTGTGTAGGTATCTATCCATTAGACGCAAAGAATGTTTCGTGTCGTTCTATCGCTCGCTTCAATCATAAAGTGATAAGAGTTGTGCTAGAAAATGATGCAAGGGAAAGCACTGGCGGTAAATGTCGAACGGCGACACTCGCCGTAAATCTTCGCGTGGCCCAACTTTAAGCGCTGTTTGCGGTCTAAAACCTATTTAGTGCTTACACCTCGGCCTCGTTGTGTGGCCTAGACATTAACCCGTTCCTATATTTACGTACCGAGCTAATAATCCAACGTTATTGGAGCCGCTCCCCTCAAAAAAGTACAGCCGACAGCGGCTCACGCGTAAATGGCCCTGAAACATACCCACCAAAGGATGGCCCCGTTGCCCAACGAGAACCCACCGGCCCACGGGCCAAGTTACATCGGCCGTGTAACACGTAAGTCCGTAAGCCGGCGACGTGGGTGGTCGGCCATTTTTATTTAACCGTCAAAAGGTCATTCACCCATTCGATTACTCTGGTGTCGTCACACCTGTGTTAAGGTCTTTTTTGTCGGATACAGTTGGCTCGCGTCTCGTTATTAATAACACTTTTTTATCGTTCCCCGCGATAACAATGTGATTCTCGTCACTCGGCTGCGGCGGATTGGATTTTCGTCGGCGGCGAGATCGGTATATTGCGAGCGTAATGATACAAAAAATCAGCGGCGTCGGCGAAGGCGTCCGATCCCAGTCGGAATTACGTTTTTAACCTGCGTGGTACTTATAATGTGGCGTGTATTACTTTAAATTAAGCTGGACTTAACTGTGGCCTTACGTTTAATTAGTTAGTGAGTAGCTTTAAATTTAGCAACGATGCAGTATTTAAAATCATTGCTGGCCGTATCGGTAAAACGTGTCGAGCGAACAGGTTCTCCTGATTTTAAGTGATTACCACCGCGCATCTACACCCAAGGGCTTGCAACTTGCATCAGTGGATAGTTTTAAAAGAGTGGGCCCCGATTAGCTAACTAAACCGACAAAAAGGATACTTAAAAGTATATATAATACTTACATTTCACGCCTGTGTGTGGCCTTATCGTAGTAACGTTTCTAAACCCTCAACTTAAAACAAATTTACTTCAATTGGTGACTCCCTGTCCCAATTGCAAAGGTATTGTCTTCGACGCCAGTTCGATTCCCACACGGGACAACTGTATGTGTTTCGCACCAATTAATACAGATACGGAATGAACATGTATGCTTAACATAAACATTCGTCGGCTAAGTTATATTTGTATTAAGGGTCCTTAAGGCTATTTATTATGCAGAAAGATGTAACCGCGTTATCGTCATACGGTGGTCTACTGGTCATAGCCCAGCTATGACTGTGTTAGATGATTAAGTTAGGGCCACGCAACAGTGTTCGCTGTTGCACGAATTTGCTGATCCATCCGGGTGAGTACCACCTCACGGAAGACCGGCGTGAAGTGAGGTGTTACACCTCTGCGTTCCGTCCGGTGAGTGAGGTAGCCGGGGCCCACTTTATTTAAAGGTGGCAACGCTTCTGCAACCCTACGGGCGTTTCAGATGTCCATGGGCGGTGGTTGTCACTTAACATCAGGTGAACTGCCAGCTCGTTTGCCACATAAGAAAAAAAATATTCACTTTGACAACGTAAAATTCATCTTGTCTTTGTCACCGTTCAAAATCTTCAGGTTTTCAATACGTAGACCGCATAAAGCTACATAGAGGAACGTGGAAATACTAAGTTTCCACGAGCTGACAACATAAAGGTGCTCCATTGGATAAGGTGCTTTTTGAATTAAATGAAAACTTTGCTTTGTTTCATTTATGCCAAGTCTTTAACATTTCTTTTTTTTAAATCTTATTTTTAAACATTGTCATAACCCTTACAGTAGGATAAAATTATACTGTGTTGTAGAAGCGTATTACATACATAAACTACACGTGGACAAACAGTCCGGTACGAAACAATTATCTGTGGGTCACACGATCAGTTGTCCTGTGTGGGAATCGAACCCACGGCCCCCAGCGAAGCCAACGCCTCGACAACTTCGCCACGGAGTCAGTCGGGTCGACACAAGAGTGAATATATGAATGAAGCATTTCACGGAGAGCAATAAAGGCTGTTCGCATTGCCCCCGATTGAGTGTAAAAATAACAACTCGCGACGCCACTCTCAGTGAGGAATTTCGGGGATCCCTTTTGCAACGCGGTTTACATGAAGTAGAATACGTCAGATCTATAATAGTTTAATCTATGCTTTTCTTTTGTTTCTGCTATTGCGTTGTAAGTAAAAAATAAGTAAAGTAGCAGCCTATAAATGTCCCGTTGCTGGGCAAAGGCCTCCTCTGTACAGAGGGTATCAGGGCATATTCCATCACGCGGCCCCACTGCGGATTGGCGGACTTCACATATTTTCGAAATATATTTTTTAATTATTTCGAAAATATGCATGATTGCTCACGATGTTTTCCTTTACCTCTGAGCATGGCAGTCAGCATTTAAAATGAACAATTTCATTCGTGCCAGCACCGGGGATCGAACTCGGGTTGGTCGAGTGTATTGAATAAAAGCAAGCGCCCAGAAATGAACTATCACGGCTCAGCGTTGTGAGCTTTAGGCTTACTTGAGTATAGATTGTTACTATATGATTTTGTCTTAGTTTTGTTATTTATAAAGATAACAAAACTATAGGATTAAATGTGAATAAATGTTTTGTCTATTCAGGTGGGGTAGACTACTATTTATGTTCCTATTTATACGTGGGATTTCACGAATGAGAAATTTACGAAATTAAATTGACAAACTTGTGCAGAGACGTTATTGATTGGAGATATTCGTTGTCTACGAGAGATGCTTTTACACATTTATGTCTGTTGATTTGTCGAGATCAGAGTTTTCATCAATGTTTGCTTATTCACCGAGACGGTACAAAGGCAGGAGAAAGCGTAATACGTGCATCCATATAGATTTTGATGTCTAAAAGAACTAACTCTATGGCGAATCTTGTGATCGATATAGGGACTATCTATTTAAACAATAAGTTCCTAGGAACTTTTTCCCTAATCTTTAGGGATGTCAACGCTAGAAAGACGGTACACGAAATCCTGCACCCCAGCGTGCATGTGAGCCGCCCCTTATCGAGAGCTATGCGAAACACTCGTAGCGACGACATGGTATCAAATTAACTGCTTTTTTTCGACTCCCGCGAGCGCTACTGGAGTGAATCGATTGGTGATGCCCTCAAGATGGTCGGATGTGCTAAAATTTAATCAAACTCCCCGCGAGGGTTAAAAGTGACGTGACACAATTGTATCAATCGATCTTTTAATTGTTAGGAACGATCTGCTCTTAAGGTTACTCGCGATTAAAATCGCGGGCATTAGTGGAAGCGTAAAAAATTTTTTTCAATTACCTACGACGCCTATATATGTACTGCCTCTGAACACTGTGGGATATATATTCCAGTGTACCCTCTGTACACTGGGGGCTGTATTTGGACGGTCTATCATTCTAGGTTCACAGCTCATGATATGTAAAGAATCAGTAATAGTAGACGTTATTTGAATATTTGACAAAGAAGGCCCAGCACTAGGACATATATAGGCTGTTACTTTATTTTACTTTACTATTATAACTAATAGTAAATCCATGGGCCATGACCGATGAAGCTGTCATTATAGATTATATATGATTGTGTCCCGATATAGATTATAATATATACGAGTTTAGAGATAAAGATAGCGTTTTTGATATAAGGAAGTTGACTCTGGAAGAAGATACTGCGAGCCCTGCTAAGAGCTGCAATTTGAAAGACTATTATAGCATCTGCTGTCGCTGGATACGTCAAACGTCATAGCGTCACATTTAAGCCATCCCGACTATCGTCACTACGATCAATTTTGAATCTTCGAGGACCTCCAATCTCTGTCTCTTGCAAACTTTATCACTGTCGCGGCGACATCTACGCTCGAGATTTGACAAACTGCCACGATCCGAAGCGGGCATATTGCGAAATTCCTCGCGCCTTGGCGTGGCAACCCCTTCGCAGCTGACAGACGGGGGACGCCCCGAAGAGTTTTATTGGAATTTCCGCGGCGGCATCGCGAATCCGGAATCCCCCGTTCGGCGCCGACCGGAGGAACTTTAATTTAGTCGCGTTCGAACAGGCCTTTTCGATTTGATAGGGGACGTGAGCGGTGAGCGATTGTTGATTTGGTTAAATTCATTCATTTGCACGAACGAGTGAATGAATAATTTTGGACTATGATACCATATTGTGACCTACTTTAATACACGGTGGTTTTTTTATGGGAAAAGAGCTGCAAACGAGCTATCGAACTGGTTGATCCGCTGGGGCTGGCCTGATCTGAAGATTACCTAAAAATTTCATCAAAACAGTCGTAGCCCTTGTGGAGTGCATAGGCATTTAAGACTAACTCATCGATTAAAATGACATAGAAATTAGTCAAACGCTGCCAGCTTTTGCTCCGCTGAATATTGAACGTTAAAAGGTTATTTTAAAGGTGTTCTATTATCGTCTTTAACCACTGTTTGGTAGGATGATACCAACTTATTGTGAGATAGAAGTATTCATAACCAAGTTTAGTACTACTTATAATGTACATTTGAGTACCACATTAATATCAGGCTATTTTTCATTACTTCGCGCAGTTGATAAAACATTTGGATAAATCAAAGTAAGATCCATACCGTCATGTGGTATAAATGGAAAGTTTAATTACACAAGAGTCTTTTGTAAAAGGAGCGTTAACGATTTCCATTAATATCTCAAATAAGGTGTAGGTGAATAAAATATGCAAAGTTTTAAATAGAGATCAGGTTCGGTAAAGTTAAATAACGGACTACATATGACCTTCGCATATGTTACATATATCCACATATCTTCAAAATATTCCTTTTGTTATTATTTTGAAAATATGCGGGTTTCCTCTTAACGATGGAGTACGTGATATGTCAGCACTTTAAATTCGACGAAGTACTTACCAAATTATCTTTGAAACATTTAAAAGATCAAAAGGTTGGTGCAATAAAATAACATTTCTGAATTTTTACTCGTTTTAATAATTATTTTCTGTTAATTACCACTTCTACATAACTTTTATAGGTTGACAATATTCTATAGAAACAGCGTTGCGATGGAACCGTTTCATTTTGAAACTTATTTTGTGACAATGAACAAGGAGCAATTATACATTTGGAGGCTTATGGGCATGCACTGTGACTTTAATAATAACTATTACACTATATGAATACACAAGATATGCATACACTATATGAATATAAACGAAATTAGATTAAAGAATGCATATGGCATGAGACGAATCTCGTTCAATTATACATCCCTCCACATCTGCCGAATGTCTCGCAAGAATATCGTCAAACTATTCCTCTCTACTAATACTGCTACATTGCACAATAAATAACTTAACTTACATCGTAACTTTAAACGTTAACTTAATATTTACACGGTGAACGTGACTCTATACAAATCGAGTGGGACGTATAACAGCTAATATGGATAACAGATCGCTTAACTATGTTCCGACTGGCTGGTGTCGATTATTTGTAGGGGCGAGGATCCCTGTAAATTAACTGTATCGTATTTAATCACGTTCTTTTTGCTTTAGGCCTATGCTTTGTCAATTTACAGGTTTAAAAGACATTGAAAGAAACATTGATAGAAAAAAATCTTCTATCAAACTGTTTCTAAGAACCATCGAACAGGAACGACGAATTGGAGTTTATAAGTAGTTGGTAGTTTTTTTTGACGTTCAATTAGAGTTTAAATTATGCCTATATTGAATAAAGAAATGTTGACTTTGAATTTGACTTTGAAAACATAATTAATTACGTATATTATCCGTTAAGTAGTATCGTTTTACGAGAAAGATATACATTACATACTGATCCGTCAGTTATTATGACTAATATTTTCCAAGTTAATGTTTGCGACTTGTTGGACGTTGTTTCAAACAGTATGTGACCCCAAGGTTTACCCGCCTTCTAAGGCGGCTCGTACCATCCCCAGGCAACGATTAATAGGGTCTGAAAATCTAAGAAATATTACAAAAAGATCATAAGTTATGACGTAGATACAATAAGGCGGTCTTATCGCTAGAGCGCGATCTCTTCCAGACAACTTTGATACTATAAAGTATGTAATAGATATTGTTATAGCTATTAATAATCTGTTATTGTAAAATTATATTTGTTATTGTTATAACTTCGTCACGTATTGCCTTCTCCAGGCTCCACTGGAAACCAGTAATCGGGATATTTCGTGGTGACGTTGATTGGAAAACCTTTTTGGTGCATTGCTCGCTAAATTTCAATTGTTATTTTGTTATTTTAAGAAATTATTTATTTAAAGAATTTATTTAAAGTACTAATAAACATTTATTTTTTCTTTCTTCCTAAAAGAAATTAGGGAACAAAAACCCAAACCCTCTGGCTAGCCCACCGGTTCTGTGTCAGATGAAGCTTTAATAGTCTCGGGACTGAAAGCACAAACATCAGTTATTACAAGAATACAAGATACAAGGAACAAAAACATTGAGTGTTATTACTTGTTGAACTTTCGAGAAATGATCTATATTGCAACATATACATTATAGTTTCTGCTCATGCGTCGTTTATAACGTATCGTTTCTGAATCGGGAGATAATTTTGAACTAACTATGCCGTATATACAGAGCTTGGAATGAATATTTATGGCGTTTGCAGTCCGTGCTGTGAAAAACTGTGCGCTGTGTTGATTTTTAATCGACATCAAAAAGGAGGCTCCAAATCGACGAGACCATTTAACTGTTTCGTTGATTTGCAGTTCGAGGGCACTACATTGGTACTGGTTGGTATTACAATAGAATATCGTTTTGTTCACGTATATAACAAAGTTCGAATAGTGCTAGAGACAACATAAAGTTTGGGATAAGTCTAGTTGGCTTCTGAAATTCCGATCCCAAAATTTGTAGAAAAAATGAATGAAAAGTTTTTTACCGTCGCGGGAATCGAACTCGCTTCTTCCGGATTTGAGCCACAAAATGCTTGTACCACTAAGCTGATTCAATATATTTTTATCTAAATTATTATTTTTTTTTGCATTTAAGCAAAACCCTTTTCGTCCATTTTTTCTGCAAATTCTGATGTCATGTGCAGAGATTAGAGCTATAAAAAAATTTAAATTCTGATCTCAAGTTAAGCGAGCTCTAACATTTCTTTAACGTAAGAAATTGGATAAACTAGTAACTGATTGAACCAAATATGTCCGCGATTCCTCTTCGACTACATTATATATTATTTTAATCTTGATATGACATGTATTTCTGTTGTACGTGAACGTAAAACGCAGTTCTATTGGTCTATCAAATTAAATTCTAGAAGAGACGATTATCGTTATGTATTTTTGTTCTTAACATCTAAGGCTCGAACGTTTTGCGCTTTTGCGTTTTTTTTTTTTTTTTTTTTTTTTTTTTTTTTTAAGGAGAAAAAGGGCAAACGAGCGTGTTGTTATGTTGTGATAAAGTAATGTGTTAATATATCTAAGAGGGACCTATGTCTTCTTGTATTAACTGATGTTTGTGCTTTCAGTCCCGAGACTATTAAAGCTTCATCGGACGCAGACCTATGTTCAGCAGTGGACTCAAACAAGCTGAAATAGCGACGATGACGATGAAGTTAATATTGTTGGTTCTAAATTTATTGTTTCATCATTTGTTGAATTTGATATAAAATAAAAGAAAATATTAAACAAACAAAGGTTCTAAAAACCAAAATTATTTTTATAATACAGCAAATTCCAAATATCCATTTTAATTTAATTTTGTCGTTTGAATTTGTCTTGCTAGTATCAATTACAATGTTTGCAATTCTACTTTGTTCGGTTGGACAACTTTTTGCGAAAGCAACTTGTCATATAAATTATTGAACAAGTGAAAAATATCAACTTGGTTATAATTTATTTCGTATATCATGCGATATTTATAAGTCACAAGATAATAATCTGGTTTATCTACCAAGAAAGCTAATTTTGCAAAAAGTATACTGAATGTAGATTAAGAATAGATAAAACAGTGGTTCCCGAGCTTTTCTTGCATTATTCTGCTCCCTTTTTAGATATTGGTAATAAGTATTTTTACTACTAGTACTTAAACAAAAAAAAATAAAAATAAAAGTATTTTATTACCAGTATTAAAAAAGGAAACAAAATAATGCTTAGAAACCACTGTTTTAACTGTTCTTAATCTAAATTCAGTACATTTTATAATACTATAAGAAACAGTTATTTCTTTAATTACTTATTTTAAATACAACATAGATTAGATCTTTGATTGAAAATCGTTGCTTTCAGTATCCTTACTAATATTATAAAGGCGAAAGTTTGTATGTATGGATGGATGTTTGTTACCCTTTCACGCAAATACTACTGAATGGATTTTAATGAAATTTTACAATAATATAGCTTATTCATGAGAATAAGACATAGGCTATAATTCATATCCATAATTTATGTATATCTGTTTTTCTGTCTGTATTTTACGCCTTCAGCCTATTCTACGCAGACGTAGTTGCGGGCAGCAGCTAGTATATTATATGTTTAAAACTTCAAAGTATCCAAGTGATTGTGATTAGATTGGGAAACTGTTTTAAACTTTTATATAAAAACACTTAAATCATAATTTACGAATCCTTGGCATTTATTTATGATAACTGACTTCTATAATAACGATTTTTTTTAAATCGTAATTGAAGATTTCAGTTTTCGCCACATTTTCTTCAATACTCCTTATTCAAATCTCGTATATTCTTCATCAACAAACTGATACGTTGACTGTCATTTGCAACAAAGAAGTTTTATTCTACCCACAATGTTATCTGTGTAGTATAAATAAGCTATCTTCTTATTAAGCTCATTTATAATTTTTATGCCCGACTGTACTATCTCCATTACTTAAATTACGTACGCATACGCAAGGCAAAACATATATGCAGCTTGCCCTCTCGTTCGCACCGCAAACCATATTATTTTCTGTCCTGCTCGTACTACATGCTGATTAGTCTAGTTGTGAACAACTCCGATTTTCAATAATTAATTAGTCGTGTTTATGTTTTAGATTTTTCCACTCTATGTTTGATGCGCAGAGCTTAGGGCTCTTTAACTTTTGAGCGATATTGCGTCTACGCTTGTAATGTTCTGCACGATTGTACTTTAACCGGCTTCTTTATTACTGAACTTATATTGGTCTATTGTTCATTCAAACGCAACTACCCGAAATGGATAATCGCGTGATAAAGTGCAATTCTTCGATGCTCAGTTCGCTTTTAAGGAACATGTCATTTTACAAAGGGCGGTCGAATTACGAAATGGCTCTTTTCTGTTATTGCAATTTCGATACAGGTATTGAGTTTTATTTGTGAATGTACTCTGTAAGGAACCTAATTTCAGGGCTGTTGAAAATTCTCAGTATATTCCACTAATCCAAATAGAATTTGTTTGGACGAAAGTTACTTAACTGCAACTACATTTGAAACAAGAAATTAAAGCCAAATGGAAGTCCTCTGATTGAGATGTAATTAAAACTTATTTATAATTTATATTTTTCTGAATTAATATCACTGTACTTGGGATCCTCGCCGGCCTACATAAGACATTATTGTTTAACATTAACTAAACCGTGAAACACTTTTTTCCTATTTACATCGTTATTCAACTGACTCTGATCATCTACGTTAATTTACACAGACTGAACTAAACAAATGACATTGCGTGCAACTGAGAGTTCTCAGTTAGAATAAATACGATGCTACCTCGTATAAACTAACTTTTTCCCGCGGTTCCGGTCGATGTAGAACGCCCTTTGCTAACTCAGCGTATAAGCAATGTTCGTTTCATTCGAATACTGTCGGTCGTGCACACGTTGCGATATGAGATTCGCCGTCTCGCTCAGTGACGGTTCTGCTCTCTCTCCCGCTCCCTGGCCTTCATCTCCAACTCCTCCTCCTCCTTCGTCAGGGGAACGGTGCTGTGGTTGTACAGGCCCTGGGCCATCAGCTGCAGCGCGAGCGGGTTCCTCTGCCCCGACGCCTTCTTGATCTTGGCGCGCTTATTCTGGAACCAGATCTTGATCTGGGCCTCCGCCAGGCCCAGTTCCGCAGCCAGCGCCTGCCGCCGCCTCTCCGTCAGGTAGCGGTTCTCCGCGAACTCGTGCTGTGGACAAAGTGACCTTTAGGACTCCTCTGAGAAGTTTCACCACCTGTTAAGGACTCTCAGATAATTCTTAAAAACATTCTAAATGACTTAAGCAATCGTGATTATTGGCAAACTATTTTTCTCATTCTACAGAGACAATTTGTAAAATAAAGACCTTAGTCTTAGTTTAGTTAGAAGGTTGTTAAGTTCAATTTTAATGAACATTTTATTGAGCAATAATTTTAGAGATTATTTTAAAAGTAGCACTAATACGATATTATTGAATCGAGCATTGAACAGTTTTCAAAATCTTCGATTCTTCGTTAAAAGATTAATTAGAAGGGTAATATGAACTGACTAATCTATTTAATTAAAAAAAAATAATAAAATAAATCTATTTAATTTATGGCATCATAGCTAATAAAACCTTTTGACATTTACCTACAATTCCAAGTTATCTTATTAAACCATTATCAATTGCATTTAATATCTTTTTTTCATAAATAAAATTTTTAGTTATTTTTTTTTGTGACGCTAAAGAAGTATAACTTTTTTCCCCTCTTATAAAGTACACTCGTTTTTTCCTCGTAGTATATGATACAATAACGTCATCACATGATTACAAGAAGACAGAGTAGATGGTTCTCTAACGCAGTTATAAACCGATAACTTCCGGTGCCACGGTGTGTGAAATCAATTTGACTACCCGAATGGCGTAGTGGGTAGTGTACCTGCCTCCTGCGCCAGAGGGTGTGGGTTCGATCCCCACTACTGGAAAAATATTGTGCGATGAACATAGTGTTTTTCTAGTGTCTGGGTGTTTATATATGTGTAATATGTATTTATTTACAAAAGAAAAGTATGTTTAAGTATGTTTATCAGTTTTCTAGTACCCATAGTACAAGCTATGCTTAGTTTGGGACTAGATAATGTTGTATAAAAATGTGTCCTAAAATGTTTATTTATATTTATTTAATTTCCATTTGGGACCAGTTCGTACGACATACAGATAATTGTTCCTCTAGTTCCTGCTGCTACAGACAGTACCCTAGCTGGCTTAGACGAATCGCAAAGGTGTAAACTTTTCCACTCTATGAGTTCTATGAGTAGTCCTACTTTTGCTGTTTCCACAAACATGAAAACTCATCATCTGTAACCCAAAAGAGTAGACAATGTTGTACGCCGTCCATTACACTTTATTGCTCGAAGATGTGATTTTCCAACTGTATTAGGCTGGCAACTGTGTAGGGAGCTTCAGCTGTTGCACGAATGGGCAGACTGGTGTTCAAGTACACAGCCTCACAGAACATTAGCATGAAGTGGTGGTTCTTTCGCGTTTCGTTTGGTGAGTGAGGTAGCCGGGGTCCACTTTCTTAACTGGCAACGCATCTGCAACTCACCAGGTTTTATAGATGTCTATGGGCGGCGGTAACCACTTAACATCAGGTGAACCAAGAGCTTGTTTGACAACTTTTAACATAAAAAAAGCTCGTAAAGAATTTAAGTTGTATATATTGATGACCCGAATGGCGTAGTCGGTAGTGTACCTGCCTTCTGCGCCAGAGGGTGTGGGTTCGATCCCCACTACTGGAAAAATATTGTGTGATGAGCCTCGTGTTTTTCTAGTGTCTGGATATTTATATATGTATACTGTGTATTTATTTACAAAAAAAAAGTATGTTTAAGTATGTCTATCAGTTTTCTAGTACCCATAGTACAAAGGTTTGCTTAGTTTGGGACTAGATAATGTTGTGTAAAAAAATGTGTCCTAAAATATTTACTTATTTATTTATATTTGTTTATTATGTTTCAGCAGTACATTTTACGATAGGATCCAATGCCCCCGTGCGAGTGTACCTTTAGTCTTGCGAGTTGGGGTCCAGAGAAGGCGGTGCGTGGTCTCTTCTCGTCGGTGGTGGGCCCCTCCCCGGGCGGCTTCTTGGGTCTCCTGGTGCGCGGACCTGCCCGCAGAGGAACCGGTTTCAATCGACACTTAAAACAGCCTCAGTGACTACGGATCTACTTCACACTTCGCTCAGCTTTTAAATCTCTTAGTGTGACAGATAACAAACAGTAAATTAAAAAAAATAATGAACGTTTCTTCATCTATTTGCGACCATTGCTTCCGATAACAACTGAAGAACAAGTTTAATTATACATCGACCTAATCAGATTTTATCCTTTTGTTTGATGACTCCTTGGCGCAGTTGCCAAGGTATTGGCTTCGGCGTCGAGGGTCGTGGGTTCGATTACCACACGGGACAACTATTTCTGTGACCCACTGATAATTGTTTCGCATCTGTGTTTGTCCGTGTGAAATGTATGTTTGTAAAACGTCCTTAGAACACAGGATAATGTTATCCTAAAGTAATGGCAATGTTTAAAAAGAAAAAAATCTGTAGTAGCACACGGTACCGTATTGTTTTGTTAAGCATGCTTAACAAATGTGTGTATAGATAACGCATAAATAATGACCGCATCCTTATTGCACGTAGTTTTTAATTTAGTATACATCGTCTGCCAGCGTGTCTTAATTTAGCATACGTCGTCTGCCAGCATGCCTTGCATGGACCCCGCGAGCTTTATGAAGCCGTTACGAACGTCAGGAAAAACCCCGACAAGTAAAGACCTAAGCCATAGATGGACAACACACCAGGCCAATAAAGTCAAATCGCACTAGCCTAGTCTCGAATTTATGTTTGAATTTTTTTCTCATCACCCCTCCACTATCACTTTAGTTTCTTTAAAGAGAAAAAAATAATTTAGTATTCTATAGCGCATCTTGCGTACGAAAATGGTTTCCCGCCGTGTTGTCGTCACATAAATTGATAAACGTATGTTTTGTGAATAAAAAAACCGGCTAAGTGCGAGTCGGACTAGCGCACGAAAGGTTCCGTAACTTATCTTTACAAACGTGAAAAAAATCATGTCTGTTGTATGGGAGCACCACTTAATTTTTTTTAATTATGTTTTTATCTGTATATATGTTGTTATAGCGGCAAAAGAAATACATCATCTGTTAAAATATCAACTGTCTATCTATCACAGTACAGCAGATACAGCCTGGTGACAGATGGACAGACAGACAGTCGGACAGACGGAGTCTTAGTAAAAGGGTCCCGTTTTACCCTTTGGGTACGGAACCCTAAAAAACCGCGAACAGAAGCTGTGTAGCCTCCCGCTGTTACCAGCGCGTCTAATTAAATAATCGCCGTTTTACTAAACTTAACCCTGTGTCAATACGGTAGGGTTTATTTTTCCCTACACTTTTCGCGTCAGTAACACGTCCGATTGCGTCTCGTGAATTTGATTTTGGAACCGACTTGATAGTTGCGCAAAAAATATACGCATTTTCTCGTCGAGGGAATAAATGGCTTTATAAGAAATTTAAAATTGGAACACCATGTTTACCTACATTGTAACTCGGTCTTGTGGCAGTTTTTCAAAGGGGATAGAAGAAATTATAGGAGCAAAAATATGTTTTTTATTTTATTTTAATTCTAGGGACACTGGTCATGAGGCCTTGTACATTTTTTTTAATTATTTCGGGATTTTTGTTTAATTATGTCGCTAAAAAGTTAACTCTCTTTAACGGCGCGATCACCATAAATTATTTCATTTTTTAAATGTGAAATATATAGCAAATGGAGGAATTGAAACTTAAATATTCAGTAACTTTAGTAAAGACAATGATAACCAGTTTTTGCGCGGTAAATCATTGAATTGCTGCTAATAGTTGGGTCTTCGGATTCTGTTAGTAAAGCGACAAAAGTTTTGTTACCCGTTATTGCAGGATATTTGTTAATTTACCGCTTAACTAGTTGTTGGAGGGGGGAGGGGGCTAAAACCCTGTTGTACATTTTATCGGTGCATACATTAAGGACACTGGACAAGTATAAATTTCAATTCATGCGAAAAACATTCAGAGTAGCACTTTTTTTTTTTTAGCATTGAAAAACAAAAGATCAACTTCATCCATGCTGATAAACATAAAAAATGTTTATTTAGTGCAGTTTGCTACGTTATAAATATATTATGTGTTCAATGTGTATCTAACACATTGAACACATAATATATTTTAATACAAGACACATTAAGTTTAACATCACTGCAATAATATTTTAATGGTCCTCCCGTTATATATAATGTTGAAGGTTTTGAATGCGATATGTTCCAATGTCACTTGAACCAAAAAAGTTATATTTGCAACACATAACATAATAATCTTTCCATAATATCATTGCATAGATCATTAAATAACACACACAACATAAAACAAGGAAATGGACAAAATGAACACAAATGATAACTTATACGAGTATTTCATTAGCTGTTTTCACGGATTCCGCTACACTCACTCTTACAAACTGGCGATGTAAAAAATTGAAAATTATGACAAGAAAAACATTTTTCTAAGTAAAAAAACAAAAACGATTTCCGATATGTCACTCACTATACATTCTCTATTTGATTTTGAGAAGTTCCCTGATATCCGGAGAAGGTCTCCGAGGTCCTAGGTGAAAACCAAGGTCGGTTGAAGTCAGTTGAAGGAATATAAAAGCAAAATATACGTCACGCAAATTAGGAGGTAGAGTGTGTTTAAGGGACAGAATCCAAAGAGGAGTTAGAAGAACTTAGAAGAACCTTTCAAATCAGTGCAAACTGAAGTTCAAGTAGACCAGCCTCAAGCCACTGCTTGAGTCAGCGATGGCGTACGGAGAAAAACATCTTGGAATGGAAGCCGGGTTTGTGCAGGTGTCAGCCGCTCATTCTCAAAATTGGCTGACCACCAAATAAAAACAGAATTGCCTAGATGCGGTAAGCGGGAGATTGCTTATGATGCAGGGTATTGGGAGGAGGTCCGCAATAATGATGAGACAGGTAAAAAGGAAACAGCTGATTCGCAATCTGTTTTATGTAGTTCGGACATTATTGAGATTTCAGCAATGTTTAGCATAGTAGATTAAGTGATAGCCATTATCTATGCCAGGGACTTGATTTGCACAAATTAATATAAGGGCTGACAGGGCACGTCTTGGAGTTCCACCAATCCGGAAAGGATACTAGAGAGGACCAATCCACCAGTATCTGATGAATTATTTATTAGATTCGTAATCGCCTTCACAGTCCAATCCACCTAGGTAGAGGTAACGTTTTGAAAGAGAAAGGAGAAAGTCGCGTTGCGACACTCTGCAGTATTCCCCTGGCAGTCCGTAGCAGAATCCGTGCAAATAGCGACGGACGACAAAACGCAGAGCGCAGCGGCAGACGGGCAGGTTGCAAAACAGGCAGACGGGACGTCGGTGTTCCCGTGGCAAGCGGACGATGCAATATCTTAACCAATTCACGCGTGCTGACGCCGGGTGATGCTTTTAAAATTGGTCAAAACATTGCACCGACCGCCTGACGGGTGGCAGCGCTGTCGGGCACCTGCAAGGCAAGCTTTAGTGGCATGCGAAACAAATAGAGCGAATGAATCAAGGAGGGAACCAAGGCATAGGCATGTTTTATGTGAGAAGGTGCCAAACTAGCAGTCGATCCACCTGAAGCTGAGTCCTATCCCATTGATATTTGCAACAGCTGTGGCGTTGCAGATGCGTTGCCACCTTTCAATAAAGTGGGCCCCGGCCAACCCAATCAACAGAAGAAACGTAGAAGTATAAAACTTCTACTTCACGCAGTGACCTCTGTGAGGATGTTGCTTACGCGTACGGACCTGTCCATCCTGAAAATAGAAAAGTGGCCCTACCACTTTTCTATTTTCAGCGGTCTCTGCACTCATGATCTTAAAATTTGTAATTTTTGTAGATAAATAAACAAAAACTTTAGGCACTGCGGTATACAAACCTGTAGTTTCGGGCTCAGACTCTTCACAAACTAACCTAAGCGGCTGATCATCTCACGGCGTGAAAATCTCTACATCTAAGTTCTTTCTATTTCATTTTGGCAATGCTTGGTGCCATTTGTGTAACTTACAGTATGCAACGCCTTACACGCAACATTTAGTTTTTGTTCATTTATCTACAAACATCCACAATTGAATAACCAAATCAGTAATTAATATTCTAGAAAACGCGAAGAACAATTTGGCGCCAAAAGTCCGCCCTTTAGATTTTTTTATTATCACTACATAGTATAAAACAACGTCCCGCTGTCTGCCTGTCCCTATGTATGCTTAGATCTTTAAAACTACGCAAAGGACCTTGATGCCGTTTTTAATAGATAGAATGATTCAAGACACCCGTGCAAAGCCGGGGCGGGGCGTTCGTTTTTATATATGTAGCGTATTTTAGGGGTAGGACCACGCAACAGTCCTTGCTGTTGCATTAATGGGCAGGTCCGTCCGGGGAAGTGCCACGACTCCACAGAAGACCGGCGTGAAGTGGAAGTATTTACTTCTGCGTTTCTACTGGTGAGTGAGGTAGCCGGGGCCCACTTAATTAAAAGGTAGCAACGCATCTGCAACCCTATGGGTGCTGTAAATGTCAAGGGACGGCAGTTATCGCTTAACATCAGCTCGTTTGCTACCTTTCACATAAAAAATGTAGTGATTCTCACACAATACAGACGAATCTAAGGGCATAAAAGTAAAAAAGTAAAGTAACAGCCTATACATGTCCCACTGCTGGGCAAAGGCCTCCTCTATACAGAGGGTATCAGGACATAGTCCACCACGCGGCCCCACTGCGGATTGGCGAACTTCACATATTTTCGAAATACATATTTTTTTTTGTTATTATTCCGAAAGTATGCAGGTTTCCTCACGATGTTTTCCTTCACCGCGGAGCACGTGATAATTCAGCACTTAAAGTTAAAAACTTCATTGGTGCCGGCACCGGGGATCGAACTCAGGTTGCTCGAGTATACATTGAATTAAGGCGAGCGCCCGGACACTGAGCTATCACGGCTCGAATCTAAGGGCATACAACATCAAAATTGGTGCAGGCGTTTAGTAGTTACC